AGACGCTGAAGCGGGCGTTGACGGGCGGTGACGCGCATGCGCCCTGCAACCGTGAGTGTCAGCCTCGTTCTGGGCGGGAGGCGGACTTTCCTTGTGGGCCCAAGGGTCCACGGGGGGGGGGGAGCTCATTGGAGGTGTTCTGGCCCCAGGTCGGGCCATGAGCCCCTACATCCGGGCCCTGAGGGAGGGAGGGGAGCCCCTGAGGCCTGTAGCACTTGTTGGAGGCGGACGCCCGCCACCTTCTGCCTCAGTTTCCCTCCCCGCGGGGGGCGATGGTCCCGCTGGGGCTGCGTGAGGCCGAGGGGGTGCGACGGGCCCCAGGGACTTCCCACCTCATGGCTCTGCCCCGTGCCCGCAGCCTACGGCCCAGAGCGCAAGGTCGTCGCCTGCTATAGCGCCTGAGGGCTGCGATGGAGATGCCCGCTCCTGCTGCCCGCCTGCGAGGCTTCATCTGCCGGCCTTGGCCCGGGGAGCACGCGGCACCGGAGCCGGGCCCCTGCAGCACGGAGGCTCCACGTCCCGACTGCCCGCTGGCTCCCCACGGCTGGTCCGGCGCGCGTGTTGCTGCCACATTTTTGTTTTTCAGTTGCATTCATTTTACATGTCAGTTATATTTAATTTTAATAAAACTTCACGGCTCATTGGCTTCGCTTGCTCTGCTCTTTGGCCCTAGAGGGCTGAGACAGGCTGGTAGCTGGGCCCCTCTGCTGCAGGGAGCAGGGTCGTGGTGGTGGTGGTAAGGGAGCCGGGGTACGAGGCTGGGTGGCAGCTGGCAACCGTGTGAGGTGCTGGATGGGCGGCTGCAAAGCATGGCCTAAACCGTGGTGATTCTCGTCCTCAGCAAAGCAAGTCGTGAGAGGTCTTTGGCAACCAATTCCCTCCGTAGCCTTGAGGCAGAAGCTCTCCGTCTCCTCGCCACACCTGGGCTTCCTGCTGGCTGCTGACTTGCCCTCACCCCTGGCGAATGAGCCTTGCACCTCCTGAACTGGGAGCACTGCTGCAGCACCACATGAGGGGGGTTCACCATCCCTCCGGGCTGGAGCTGCCCGAAAGAATTGACTCTAACTGCCTGGCTCCGGGGAGACAGGATGTGACTAAGGCTTTGCTGGTTGATTCGTCCGGACACGCGCTGCCTAATTGCTGCTTCCTAAAGGAAGAACGAGCGTGTGGACATTATGCCCATTTCATGGGCAAGAAATGATCGTGGAGAGGGGACTCTCCAACCAGAGGAGAATCCCTCTCCTTCGGCTGTTGGAACAACCCCTTGTTGAACCTCTTCTGGGTTGCGGCTGTCTCCGCCACCTATCATCTCTTCTGCTTTTTTCATGTCCCACGATGCATCTCTTGACCTTCACACATTGGGCAACAGGAATGTATGATGGTTTCTAGGCTCCTCTGAAGGGCAATGACTTCCCGGACCTGTGGCACGTGCCCGCTTGGCTTTGACGTGATCTCAGCTGATTCACATGGTCAGTGACTGAGCCCTGAGTTACAGAAGACAACAGATTGTCCCCTTCCCTGACACCTGCTCCAGCGGTGTCCTGGGAGAGCTTAATTGCTGGCATTGTGAAGACACCTTCCAGGCGGAGTCCAACGTGACTTGTCTGCCAGAGTCAGAAGATAAGGAGCTGTTTTCAGCCTCCTGTGCTCCCTGGGGGAGAAGTCTGGGATAAAAATAAACCCAGGTGACCGTTGTCTTGGCTTCAAAGGGCAAAGAACCAATTTTTATAGTTCGGGGAGGAAATATTTCTGCTGTGCCTTGAATGGAACAGCGGAAAAGTTCCAGCCTCTGGGGATAGGCGAGTTCAAGGTGGTTGACACAGCCCCTCTGCAGCATCCCTGCCACTGAAGATCTGCCCCAGTGACAGCTGCATTTGAACCCGGATGGCTAATGTAGCATCTTGGACACCTCCCCAGGCTGGTGGCCTGTGCTGGGCTCAACCCCAGTTGGGGGGCAACCAGACTGGTCTCAGAATCTGTGGGGACACTGGAAATGCTTTTCTGGGAGGCAGAGGTGACTTAGGAGCCAGAATTGATCTGGTTTAGGCCTCGTGTAGACAGATCTCAGTACAGATACAACTTATTCAAGTTTTTTAAGCCTTGCTTGAAACCAGCGAGCGCTACATCCAACCGGTGTGGAAGGGGCAGGTTAACGGAACTGGAAGAGTCCAAACAACTCCCGTGTTGGAGCATCTGCCGCATCTGTTTGATGCTTAAAAAGCAGGTTCTGCCTTGGGTCCAGGTGGAGCCTTTCCCCATGGCAGGTTCGGGTGTTGTGTTGGGGTGACGGTCATTTGACAAAGAGGTTAGATGATGGATTCATCTGGGATGGTTTGGACAGGGCTGATCCTGCCTCAGACGGAGGGGTTGGACTAGAAGTGACCTCTGGAGCTCCCTTCCAGCCCCACTTCTCTATGACTCTCTCTCCTCCGTGGTGCTGTTTGCCATGGTCCAGTCTCCCTCTTAACCTTTGAGCTAAACTGTTCCTGAATTAACCCACTTGAAACAAATAAAGTGATTGCAGGTACCATGAAGGTCTCCAGCTTCCAGCAGGTGATGACCCACCCCTGGTGGGATCCGCCCAGGCTGCCTGGCCCTGCCTCCCATTCCCTTGAGTTGCTTTGGGAAATGAGCTTTTAAGCACTCAAGCAACTTGGCCTCTTTGTGAACCCTCAGGCTTTGTCTAGTCAGCAGGCAACAGCAGTCCGGCTCCTGTGAGATTTTTAGCTCACCATAAATCAGGCACAAATGGATCCAGCCTGTCAGCTTCAGTCCTGTTTGTCAAAGCAGCTTAGGATCCCGAGTTCCCTGACACTGTCTTCAGAAGCATCATGTGCCGAGACACAAGTGTGGCCAGCTGGCTTGGCTTGAAAAGGAAGCCTTATATGAGGTGGGTGTTGAATGGAGGTGGCAGAGGGGAAAAGCTGAGCCCATAATCTCTCCCAACGAAGCTATTATAATCCCCCCCAGGGTGGTGCTAGAGCAGCTGAGTTTGTGCCTAAAAGAGCGATGTAACTGGGTCAAATGCGGTTGTATCTGAGCTCTGGCAGGGTGGGAGGAAAGCTGCCAGCTGTTGGCCTGAACTTATTTCAGGTCCTTTGTTAGAGCCCAAGGGGTGGGAGTTTCAGGGCTCTGTTTCTGGATTCAGAGGCGGCCTTGACATAACTAATGCAAGGAAACCTAAAATAATGAGCTCTTCTGTCATCTATACGCTTTCTCCGGAGACTACCAAACAAGCATCTATTTCAACACATCCAGAAAACCCAATTTTGGGGCATCTCAGGCTGCCTCTCGCATGCAAATAAACGAATGTGACCAAGTAATTATAGTCCACTAGGCTAAAAACCATAGAGGACAATGGAGGCAGTGATGTATTTGAGATGACGCCTGTCCAGAACTATTTGGTTGTTCCAGCCTCCGGGAATCGGCAGCTGTCTCTTCTGTAACAAAGATTAAGGCTCAGCCTGTCACCTGCTGTTACCTAAAGCCCAGAGCCAAACTTAGCCCTACACAAGCAAAAGTCAGTGGTGAGTCCTCTAAACATTAAACCTGTTACATAGGTGCCATGATACATGCTTTGTTGGGCTTCCAGCTCCTGAGCTTTGGTTCTTTCATCCAAAAAAGGGGCGGTTGAGACGAAACATCGCCCCCTTTTCTAGCTGAAGGAAAAAAAACTCACAAAAGTCTTATTCCACTTTGAAAATTATGTTTGTGGGGCACCGCTCACCTGTTATGGACATTTGAACAGTTAAAAAAAACAACGAAAAGGTAATTTTGGTTTCAAAGCTGAAAATCAGTGTTTTAGAGAATATCCAAAAATGAAATGTTCTGGCTTTTTGTCTTTTTTAATGTTTTCCAGCTTTTCTTTCTGCCAAGAATATCCAAAAACAAGGGGAAAAAAACCCCAGAGCATTTCATTTTTTGGATATTGTCAGCAGAAAGAAAAGATGGAAAGCTTTAGGGGGGAAAAAAGGCTAAAACATTTCATTTTTTTATATTCTCGGTAGAAAGAAAAGTCACAAAATATTAGGAAAACAAGCCAGAATGTTTCAAATGTTTTCCAGCTTTTTTTTTTCTGCTGAAAGTATCCAAAAATGAAATGCTCTGGCATTTTTTCCTAATGTTTTGCAGCTTTTCTTTCTACGGAGAATATCCAAAAATGAAAAGTTATGGCTTTTTTTCCTCTAATGTTTTCCAACCTTTCTTTCTGCCGTGAACATCCAAAAATGAAACATTCTGATTTCTAGTTTCTAATGTTTTCCAGCTTTTCTTTCTGCTGAGATTGTAAATAGCTCCTCCCCTCCCCCCTTCCCGGCCTTAATCTGCATCTTATTTTTGGCCAAGTAGTCATTAGAAAACTTCACCTGACTCAGCTGCTGATACCTACACCCATGAGACAGGAGGTGATGGCTAATTAAGAGGGCGTAGGCATCACCTTATTGGATTGATGGCATTCAGCCAAAATTTTGTCCCCAGCCATAAGGCAGCATCCGGTGTGGTCAGGAAAATGATGGGAGAAGCCCTGTGTAAGCATACATTATTGTTGGCACTATAAATGTCCAGTTCCTCCTTGTTGTTTGGATCTCACTATGTTTCTTTGGTCTCAGCAAACATTACAATCTGAACCTGGGCAGGGGGTCGAACTTGATGATCTGTTCAGGTCCCTTCTGACCCTAGAAACTATGAAACAGATCTGGTGGGGATTTGTCCTGGCTTCGAGCGATGAAGTCACTTGCTCTCCTTAGGGTAACAAAGCCTCTTAGACTTATTTTGCCCTACTCCAGAACAAAAGCAGGTGTGAGATGGGCTGGGAACCCAGGGACAGGTCCAAAAAGGGACCAAAAAGCAGAGGTCAAGGCATGGGATCATACATCGATGATAGTACACCTGTGATCCCTGTATGTCAGCCAAGAGTACTTGGCGTAGGTACCATCAACCCGGAGCTGTGGGGCTCCTTCCCTCTTGAGGCCCGTCGGCTGAGCCTGGGCATCTTTCAGAGGCAGCAACACCTTTCTATTTGAGAAGACAATTAGCAAACACAGCAAGGTGGGGGGTCTTGAGGTGTGTGTGTGTGGGCGGGGGGCGAGGGGGGGTCATGTCTTCCCATCTTACTAGCACTTGTCCTATTCTATAAATTCTTCTTTTGACCCTTGACTCTTAATAAGAATTAACTCTCACCCCCAGCGTGCTGGCCAATAGAGCTGTGTCATCTGGCCTGCTGGGCTCCCAACAGACGAAATAATTCCCCAGTCATGTGACCGAGTTATATAAAAATGAGTTCCATTCTCAGCTGCCCCAAGCTGCTGGTGGGAAGGCCAACAGTGAGCTCAGCTGACCAGTTGATCTCTCTGGTCAACTGATGAAAACACACATCAAACTGGGCTCTCAAGGACCTGGCTCCTTTCCCAGGTATGGATCTGAATGGCCACAGGATCGTGGCCTTGAAAATGGCTTGGAAGGTCCTCGTGCCTGACCCCTCATGATCACTCTGAAATATTTGGACAAATGCCCATCGTAGCTCCTTCTGGGAATCTCCATCATCGTCGGAGGTTTCTGTAGCTGCTGGCTCAACTGGAAGTTATTTTTTCTCCTTCTTGATCTAGGCAGGCATGTATCTGGGGCAAGAAATGTCCCGTGGACCATCTCATTAGCTCAGCAAGTACAGGCTAAAGCCATCAACTCCGGACCCTGCTGTGCCTCGGGGCTCTTCAGCTCCGGGTGGTTGGCTGCTTTTAAAGACAGCTCATCCCTGCCACCCAGTGGACAGAAAGAAGCTAGAACTGCTAGAAAAGTTCCAGCTTGCTGTGGGGCCTTTCTCCTCCTGCAGGATTCCTGGCTAGGCCTTTGCTTGTATGATGATCGGTACCCATGAGAGCTAGACAGCCTGGGCATGGGTGAGGCCAAATCTTCGAGCAGCCGCAGAGGAGCCCTGCACCTTCCCGGAGAAGGGTGCAACACCATGGCTCTCGACAAGGCCACCACAGCGCCATGCCACCCTGTGAAGGGTGCCACTGAATATTAGAAAAAAAAGACCACTCCAATGAGGTCATATTTGCTCCAGCGGAGAAATGCCCGACCACGGGGTACTAGAGGCACCCCCAAGACCCGCAGGAAGGTGAGGTTTGGTGTCATTATCCTGAGTAAGGAGCCATTCTTTAACTTCTATGGCCAGGTGATGCATTGCCTCCATAAGGGAGATGAGGTTGATGTCGTATATCTGGATTTCAAGAAAGCCATTGATTTTGGTCTCCCACGATGTCCTCATGGTTAAGCTGGAGAACTATGGCCTTGACCCTCTGACAGTCCAATGGCTGGGGAACTGGCTCCAGGGTTGGACCCACAGGGTACTAGTTGATGGGAGCAAATCACCATGGCACAAGGTGACCAGTGGAGTCCATCAGGGCTCAGTACTCAGGCCAGTACTCTTCAACATCTTCATTAATGATCTGGATTTGGGCATCAGATACAGACTGGTAAAGTTTGTGGACGACACCAATCTACGAGGGAAGGCAGTCACACTGGAGGACAGGCTTGCAAAGTGGGTGGACCAAAACCTGATGGCATTCAATGTAGAGAGGAGCAGGGTGCTCCACCTGGGAGAAACAACCAGCAGCATACTTATAGGCTCCGCAGTGCTATGCTCACTAGCACCATGACCAAAAGAGACTTGGGGGGTCTTGATTGACCACACGATGAACATGCGCCACCAATGCAATGCCGTGGCTGGCAAAGCAAACCAAACTCTGGCACACATCCATCGATGCGTCCCTAGCAATTGGCGGACAGGGGGGACAAGGCTGAACTCCTCAACGAGTTCTTTGCCTCAGTGTTCCTAAGCGAGGGGCACGACAAGTCTCTCACTGGGGTTGTAGAGAGGCAGCAGCAAGGCACCAGACTGCCATGCGTAGACCCTGAGAT